AATAATAAACACTATAATCAAATATTTTAATATTAATATTTTAATATTAATTTATTTTTTAAAATTTCAATTGAGAGAGGGAGAGAGAGAGAGAGAGAGAGAGAGAGAGAGAGAGAGAGCTTAAGTTATCCAACTGTAATTATTTTTCAAGTTAAAATTTTATATATAATATTTTACATTGTTTGTTATAATTGGGTTAAACATGGCTTCAAAATATGCAGTGTATAATAAATACCTAAAGTATTTTTATCGTGATAATTTCTACAGTGCTGATTTCAACATTGTTGTGATTTATTAAAAATTAGTTAATTGTACACATATTTACATTATTTTTTTATGATAAATATTAACAAATGTACAATAATACAATAACTCATTAAGCACAACTTTTAAAAAGACAATAAACATGATATTTAACTATGTAAAATTTTAACTATAAATAAATAATATACATGTTTAATAATATACATATGTATGTTTCCAAAAAAATTTAAAATTTTGAATACTTAATATAGAGACCTTGTAAAACTTGTGTTTCTATAAATTGTTCATTATTAAATAAAATTGTCACCTCCTTATTTTATTGTCGCCCATTTGCAATATATGTAAAAATATCATGATGATCAGTATTGCTACCATCTCAAAGATAATTTCTGTAAATATATAAATCATATATATAAAATGTAATTTTATATATAATAATCAGTTAAATATTTTTTAATGGCAACAGCTTATGTTATTCTGTTCAATATATGCCACAATATTACTTTATATGTTTTGTAAAATAATATATTATTATTTATGTGTAAGTAACACTTTATAAGTAACACTGTTTGTAATTTAAAGATGTTAAAATTATTTATTATGGCCATGGAAGAAAATAACATAAAATTTGAAATTGAATAATGGTAAGTTAATTTGTATTTAATATTTTTTCTGTTATATTATTGTTTTTATTTATATAATATGAAAAGATTAATGTACTTATTAATTAATAATAAAATTAAAAATGTTCCTTAGCAATAATCTCATGGATATATCAATATATCATTTATAATCAATACTGAAAATGGCATCAGAAGTGGCGATTGCGTGGACAGACCTGAGGGTTAGTGTCGGGTCGGGAGTGTTGGGCGGGAATGAGAAGCGGATATTGTGTGGCATTTGCGGTGCGTTTACGTCGGGATCGTTGAACGCATTGATGGGTTCTTCGGGTTCCGGGAAATCAACGCTTTTAAAGTGTTTGAATGCAAACAATGAATACGTATTGAGTGACGTCAATATATGCCACAATATTACTTTATATGTTTTGTAAAATAATATATTATTATTTATGTGTAAGTAACACTTTATAAGTAACACTGTTTGTAATTTAAAGATGTTAAAATTATTTATTATGGCCATGGAAGAAAATAACATAAAATTTGAAATTGAATAATGGTAAGTTAATTTGTATTTAATATTTTTTCTGTTATATTATTGTTTTTATTTATATAATATGAAATCAGTAATGTACTTATTAATTAATAATAAAATTAAAAATATTCCTTAGCAATAATTTCATAGATATACCAATATATCATTTATAATCAATACTGATAATGGTATCAGAAATGGCGATCGCGTGGACAGACCTTCGGGTGAGTGTCGGGTCGGGAGTGTTGGGCGGGAATGAAAAGCGGATATTGTGTGGCATTTGCGGTGCGTTTACGTCGGGATCGTTGAACGCATTGATGGGTTCTTCGGGTTCCGGGAAATCAACGCTTTTAAAGTGTTTGAATGCAAACAATGAATACGTATTGAGTGACGGGTCGGCAGTATATGTGAAAAGTGATCAACAAATCAGTAAATGTTTTATATATCAGGACCAAAATGAGCGCATAATGACGGGTCTGACTGTAGTTTGAATGCAAACAATGAATACGTATTGAGTGACGGGTCGGCGGTATATGTGAAAAGTGATCAACAAATCAGTAAATGTTTTATATATCAGGACCAAAATGAGCGCATAATGACGGGTCTGACTGTAGTCCAGGCGCTAACCTATTCATCAAAACTCAAAAACAGTGACAAAGAAAGTGGTGTTGAAGTGATTGACCACAAGAACAATGTGTCGGTTCTGATGGAGGAGTTGTTAATCAGTGATATCGCAGATAATGTGATAGAGAAGTGCAGTTCCGGACAAATCAAACGCATTTGCATTGCTTTGGAGTTGACATCAGTTGTTAAGCCATACCTACTGTTCATCGATGAGCCGACCACTGGTCTCGACACACACTCAGCACTCACTGTATGTTTTCATATAAAGTTTAATTATTTTAGTTTAAATAGTAATTAATTAAATTTATTTTCTATTTAATTTTATTATAATAGTTAATCCAATGTCTAAAACAATTATCGCACAATAATAACATGTCAATCATCGCATCCATACATCAACCGAGCAATGATTTATTTCACATGTTTGATACGGTGTATGTGTTAGCAAAAGGAGGGGTTTGTCTGTATTCAGGAGTTCCGCAACAATTGAGACAACATCTGAGCGATTGTCACATTGAGTGCAATGAAAATCAAGTGCCGATTGAAGTGTTGATTAAATTGAGTTTCAATGGACTGATGNGCCGATTGAAGTGTTGATTAAATTGAGTTTCAATGGACTGATGGATACAAACGTGAAAACACTTTGCGATAAAACGCGTGAATTGATTGTCAATACGGAAAATATGACTAAAATTAATAATGGATTTAAATTTGTTGGCAAAGACTTTAAATTTATTGACTTTGTATACCTATTGAGTAGATTTATACACAGAAATTATGTCAACAATTATAAAAGTGTTTTAAAGCAATTGCTTTTTTACATTTTAATTAATCTATTTATTGCTAATTGTTTTAACAAAAACATTGATAAAGTTGACGGTTGTGTGCAATTCAATGTACAGACAAACCAGACCTGCATTGAGATTGAGGATGAAAAAAGTATCCTGGCACAATTGCAGACCTTGTTACACATGTCATCAATGATAGTCTTATGGATACAAATTACTAGTATCTGTAATAGCTTTGGAGTTGATATGCGGACAATACTATCTGAAAATAATAACAGTAAGCAAATATAATAATTATTTTAATTTTCTAAACTATAACAATAAATTAATATGCTATGCAATTTGCATGTGTAATTTTTTTTTAATATTTAATCAAGTGCCGATTGAAGTGTTGATTAAATTGAGTTTCAATGGACTGATGGATACAAATGTGAAAACACTTTGCGATAAAACACGTGAATTGACTGTCAATACGGAAAATATGACTAAAATTAATAATGGATTTAAATTCATAGAAAAGGACTTTATATTTATTGATTTTGTATACTTATTGAGTAGATTTATACACAGAAATTATGTCAACAATTATAAAAGTGTTTTAAAGCAATTGCTTTTTTACATTTTAATTAATCTATTTATTGCTAATTGTTTTAACAAAAACATTGGCAGAGTTGACGGTTGTGTGCAATTCAATGTACAAACAAACCAGACCTGTATTGAGATTGAAAATGAAAAAAACATCCTGGCACAATTGCAAACATTGTTAAACATGTCATCAATGATAGTCCTATGGATACAAATTACTTGTATCTGCAATAGCTTTGGGGCTGATATGCGGACAATACTATCGGAAAATAATAACAGTAAGCGAATATAATAATTATTTTAATTTACTAAATTAACATGCCATACAATATAAATGTTTAATTTTTAATCTTAATTATTAATTTCAGATTGGTACAATGCACATTTATTTTTCTGGGCTAAATTCATATGTGATACGCTACTTATAATAACACAAGCGTTGATCTATGCATTTATACTGCAATATTATATTGATATACGTGTTGAACCACAAATAATATATAAATTTTTATATGTAATAATAATGACATTCCTGTGCACACAAGCATTGGCATCAATACTGGGCATATTATTATCACACAACCAAAATCTAGCACTTTTTACAGCAATTTTTATATCGTGCATTTTATTGACAGGCAATAATTATTTTGCTTCCATCAAGGATCTTTTGCCAATAATTCAAATACTCACTAATTTTGGTTATTATATATATTTCTTTAACTCAATGTTAATACTAATACATGGTTATAACCGATGCCCACGTGATTACCATAATAAAGTGTTAATTGAATTTGGTCTAGATTCTGAGCCAGAGCAAATAGTTGACACTTACGCTAGGTGGTATATTTATTATTATGCGACCTTATTGTTAGTCGAATATATTTCATTCATAATAAAAACATGCAATTTCTCAATAAATGTGGCAAAACTTACGAAAATATTTCAACACAACGACAATGAAATTAATGTTTATAATAAAGAGTCAATTGATATGCAAAATACAAATGATTTAAATGTTGATAAAATAGTTGCGGATAAACAAAACGATCAAATATTCATCGTTTGGAATAATCTAACATTTAGTGTCGCAAAATCAATGTGTAATACTTCAGAGAAAATTATACTAGATAATATTATTGGTTGTGTACGTGTGAACACATTGAACGCATTGATGGGACCGTCGGGTGCGGGAAAGACAACACTATTAAAGTGTTTAAACGGACAAAATAATAGGGGTTTAAGCGATGGGTCAATGATTTACTCGATTAATAACCGCAACATTAGGTCATGTTTTATTAAATCTAATGTTTGGGAACACCTGTTGTCGGGACTGACTGTACGACAGACACTGTTATACGCGTCGCGACTCAAGAACTCGCGGATAACGAGTCAATTAAATCACATTAAAATTGTTTGTGATTTGATGTCAGAACTGGTGATCAGCGATACGGCAGACAATAGGGTCGAGACGTGTAGTGGAGGCGAACAAAAACGTATAGTAATTGCCTGTGAATTGACTTCTCATTTAAAGCCTAATATGTTATGTATTGACGAACCGACGAGTGGTTTGGACAGCAATGCCGCCGAAGTGGTTAGTCATCAAAATATTATTATTACATTGCATTTATAATTTTGTTATTATTTTTTTCAGATAATAAATTGTCTCAAAGTGTTGTCCCGAAGACATGGGATGACAATCATTGCGTCCATACATCAGCCAAACAATGATATATTGCATATGTTTGATACGGTCTATGTGTTGGCCAACGGAGGGGTTTGTCTGTATTCAGGAGTTCCCCACTATTTGAGACAACATTTCAAAGACAACGGCATTGAATGCAATGAAAATCAAGTGCCGATTGAAGTGTTGCTAACAATAGCCTCAAAAGACAAATCAAATACAACTATATTTAACAATAAACATGAAAATGACGTAAATTGCGAGTCCATAACACAGACAAACCTACGGCCAGTGTTTGGTTCGCTGAGTATATCAAAGAGATTTAGTTTTGTGGACATGTATTACCTTTTGTGCCGATCGCTGACCCATACATTCCGGTGCCAATGGGTGTCACTATTACTGCAATTTATATGCTTTCAAATGTTGGCTATTGTAATGAAATACTGTTTCACTCCCGACATAATACTGCCCGACGGGTGCGTTGAGCTCGAGTTCGGGGCCGAGTGTTACCAAACGGAGGCCGAGATTATGAATGAAAAATTGATCAAGCTCAATATTAAATATAATACATGTTTACTACTGTCGGTAGCGTTTGTTGTGCTGATCGTAATGTCGGTCACTTTTGGGGCTGATTTTCGTGTATTCCGTAGTCAACAGCAAAATGGTATTTAAATACAATATTTTATTATGTTTTTCATTATTATGGTAAAACATTAATTTTTACATAGGTTGGTACAGCACAGGCACATACCTTTGGTGCCGTACAATCGTAGACCTGATACCAGTGCTGATGGCTTTACCCCTATTTTGTTGGCTCACAAATCTATACAATAGAATCACTTTCTATGTGTTTACGTTTGCACTCAATTTACTGGTCATTATGTGTACCCAAAGTGTGTCCCAATTATCGGCCCTATTGTTTATGAACGAGCCTAAAGTGACCCTAATATTCGCCATATTGATCCAGGTGGTGACCGTATTTTTGGGCAACAGTTTGATCCCGGTCAAAGAGCTACACTACACCCTACAAGCGCTCAGTCACCTATCGTACAGTCGACTATCGTTTGAATGTTTTGTTATCATGATATACGGGTTAGACCGGTGTCAGGCGCCACAAATCTCAACAGTGTTGTACGGCATGGAAATTGACGATTATATATTTTGGCCCAACATGGTACATTTGGTCGGTGTATGCGTGTTATTAAAATTGCTGGCATTTGTGTGTATTTTTGTGAAAACATATAAATTTCAACGAAATGTTATTCATAGTGAACGTGAAACTATTTTAAAGTTACCATCTCCTCATAATAATAAACATTATAATCAAAT